CAGTCGTAAGATTCGAGCGCTCGAGGCAGGATCGTCGTGCGTATCGTGCGTATCGTGCGTGCTGTGAATATACGTGGAGACGTGGAGTGTGCGCGAGCGCGTGAGAGAGAGAGAGAGAGAGGGAGAGGGAGACCCACACGGAGGATTCTCGTGATAGGAGAGGCAGAGAGAAAGGAAGGAAGAAAGGAGGAGCATAAAGTCTGTCGTTTGTCGAAGGAGCGAGGCAGGCGGAGCGGAGAGAGGTGGCGGGGGAGACTCGTCGCGTTGTATACGTAGTGTGTGTGCGTGTGTGTGTGTGTGTGTGCGCGCGCGTGTGTGTGTGTCACACAGTGCCGTCGGTAAGAAAGAGAAGGAGAGGAGGAACGAAGCAGTGTTCTCTCCCGAGCCGAGGCTAGCGAATATTCTATTATCTATATCGCGCTAATACTTTATAGCAACGCGTTACTATCGATCGCGTTTGCCATCGTCTCGCCAGTCGCCTCCAACGTTGCTTTTTTTTTTGTCCTCCGTGCCGATCTCCTCGCGCACCGTCGTGCGGCAGGCGGCTTGCGGACGCCACGAATTCCGCTTTCCTCTCGCGCCGCATAATACACCCCTCTACTACTTGTCTCTACTCTCTCCCTGTATGTCCTTTTCCCCCCTCCGTTACTCCGTTTTGTCCGTCGCGCTTGTTGTTCCGCCACCTCCTGTCCTCCTCTTCGCCGCGTGTGCGCTTCGCGCGGCGACGGCCGCTCTCTTCGAGTTCAGGCAGTTCGGGGTGCCGGCTGCCGAGGCTCGTTCCGTGAGAAGCGGGAAGGGAGGAAGACGGCGACTGGCGAGGAGGGCAGGCGGCGGCGGCAGCGGCGGCGGGAGGAGGAGGAGGAGTACAGGTGCAGGTGCATGCATATAGACGGCGGTAACGACGACGTACGCGCGAACACGTAGGAGAGCCGGAGAGCACGAGGGGGGGGGGGACAGGAGGGGAGGAAGGTGAAGAAGAAGTCGACGGGACGGGACAGGCGAGGCGAGGCGAGGAGAGGAAAGAGGAGACTGGAGAAGCAGAAAGAAGGAGGAAGCAGGAGGAAGCGGTTAGCGGCGGCGGACGGAGAGTATACACGCGAACGCGTAGCGGCGGAAAGCGTTAGTCGGCGTGAACGCCAGTGATCGACGTCCTCGTTCCTTTGCCTCGTGACTCGTGACTCGTGCACGGTCGAAAGTTTCTTTTGTTTATCGCCGCGCGTGTAGAGTGTCGCACGGGTAAATCTCGACGATAAGTCTCCTATCGAGCAATCGTGGCAGGATGGACGACACCGCGGGTCCACCGCGAACGTCGGACGTAGCGTCGGCGATGGGAAGCGAGAGCGACGACGCCACCACCACTACCACCACCACCACCACCACCTCGAAGATGCGGACGGTCGACGACGACGACGCGAGTACCGCCCCCGCTCCCGCATCCACCACCGGCGACGCCGCTGTCGATCCCGCCGTCGAGTGTCGTGACCTGGGCTCGATAAGAGCCGCATCCCCGGGGCCTGCAGCTGCTGCTGTTACTGCTGTTACTACCTCCTGTGCGACGACGTCGACGACGACGCCGCATCCGCATCAGCATCCGCATCCGCAGCTGCCGCCGGCACCGCAGCCGGGGTGTGGCTGCGTGGCCGCGGCCAACGCGACCACCGCGGTCGACAAGGACGAGATCACCGTCTGCATCACGCCGACCACCGGCGGCCAGTTCGAGCTCGCGGTCGACCGCAACGATACCGTGGAGAATCTCAAGAAGATCATCTCCAAGAAGCTGAAGGTCGCCAAGGAGCGCATCTGCCTGCTGCATCGCGAGAGGTGAGTGTTGGCCCCTGCGAGAATATTCCCCTTTCCACCTCTTCGCCACCTTCGATGAATTCTCACCGCGATTTCGGCGATCTCTCTCGAGAATGTGGAGTTGGAGATCCAGGAGGAGAAGGAAGGGAATAACTTACACTCGTGTGTAAGATCTCTAATAAAATCGAAGTGACACGTCACGTATCTTTTTACTATTTCAATCCAAGTAATTGCAGCTTGAATTCTCTTTGAAAAAATATTCCTTATTTTTCCTCGTACAAATGATATTTATCTTGATATTTTTCTTGACGTTTTTTACTACCTCAAACATATTCTTATAAAAGGTCTATCTATTCCAGCCCAGGTTGTGGCAGAGTTTTTGATATTTTCTGTCAAAAATTATTACTCTTTGAAAAAAAAAACTATTATACCAAATTAAAAATTAAAAATTAGAACCCAAATGTTTGCTATTGTCTTTATTCCTAGCAAATGAAAAAGTAAAACCCAAAAGTGGTACTACCTTATTACTTAACTCTAATTATATATATCGTTCGTATAAAAGATTTGATATTAACAACTGATGCCATGTTAAATTTCACAAAATTTTAATTCGTATATAAAATAAAAGACGTGGCGGCGGACGAGACTTTGTGCTCTGAACTCGATGATTCTCGTGCATATTAAAAAAAGGAAGAAGTAATAATAATTACTAAATGTTGAGTGAAATAATGTCAATCAAATGTTTGGGTATGTAATATAACAAAAATAATTTTACTTTTAAAAATATTTATTGAGTACAGTAATATGTTACCAATCGTTTGGTAATAATTACTAAATATTCAGGAGAATAAAATTTTGGTTTATGTTTAAACATTTGATTGAAATTATTTCACTCAATGGTAGTTACTACCAGACTCTTTTTCAGTGCACTATTGAAAAAATTGAGTAAAAATAATCGAGCCTAAGTGATGGAGAGACTAAAAAACTATGAGAAACTAAAATAATTTTAATCAAATGTTTGGTTGAGGATATAGATATCAGGTCTATAGCCTCTGCAGAAGTTGAAATTGAAAATATATACTTTGATATACAAATAAATACATACATAATAATATAAATTACATATATATTCATTACAGTTCATTAATATGATATTTAATAATGCAATTTTACGGTTTCAATGAAAATTTTCTTTTAATTATTTTTAAAAAAAATATGTCTATTTATATTGAAATCATTTTTAACTCAGATTCTAAATCGTCAAACTTTTTGTCATTATTTTATATATGTATATAAAAATATCTCTAATTCTTTCATAATTTTTTTATTTTGTTGAAAAATACGTACAAATCTGTAATATAACCAAAACTAATCAAATACTAATTTTACTTTACTAAACATTATCTTATTTTTTTAATTATTACCAAACGATTGATTATTATTATGTTTGATAATATTTACTGAATAACATAATAATTGCAACGCTACGCTAAACAAAATACGTTTATTACCAGACTTTTTTTCATTGCGCGATCGACTCTTTTAAATCGCACTTCGCGTTTAAAATGGAGCAAACGGAGAGGAACAGGTGACACGACATGGACGAGCGCAATTAATAAAAACATGTAACAATGAAAGATTGCAGCCCTTCTTATTTTCCATTACACAATTAGCTTCACTCTATTGTTTTTCTCGCCGGGAGCTCAAGTTTATTACATCTTGAGATAAGCTTGGACTCTTGGCAAGAGATAAAAAAAGACAAATGTACGCGTCTGAGAAGGTGTTTGAAGAGAAAGTACATAGTCGAGAAGAATAGATTGGAGATCTTGATCGCACCTGAGGTTTTAACTTTTTACCACTGCTCGCTCTTAATTCGAGACAATTGCATTCCGACAGCAATCACTCGGAAAGAGAAGCTTTATACTGGAAAGATACTAAGAAATGTAATATATGTAATGTAATAAAATTTAGCTAGATCGTGGAAAGAGTATACAAAATTACACATTACGAACAACAGAGATAAAACTTGATTTTTATCTGATGAATCAGCAGACTGCAGTACTCAGGACCAGCCTGTACTAACTTGCACAGATAAAAGAAATTCCAATGTAACAGAAACGGACAGTGTCTAGATTGTCTGGAATGCGACTGAAATAAAAAATTAGCGAATTAGGAAAATTTACGAAGAACTCCCAAAAGAAGTAAGAAGTCACACGATTTTCAATACATGCACACTCGTTTTATTGCTATTCCGAAAGTCCTGAAACACAATAGCTATAGTAAGCCTTGAATAAGGAATCAATCAATCCATTGTCGATTATTCTCTTTATATATTCGATTATGATTGGCCAATATTTTATGGCTTAAAGCTTACATCCATTGCGTTTCGGAGCTCATATTTTACACGTACCTATGTATGTATATACGAATATATTTTTTAATAGACTGCAGTATTTATTTTTCTCCTTTCTTTCCG